CGAAGGGAGGTAAGTCTCTAAACTACATTTTATTTGAGATTTAAGGGATTTGCAAGAATTGACTGTGAATTTTTTCCCCTCTTCAATTCTCCTTGAGGTGTGACCCCAAACTCCCCTGAAGGGTTTTAATAAGGGGTGGGTAGATTAGGTTGATGTGAAGCAGAAGGCACAGAACTGGGACGCAGGAGCACCAGGGAGCTCATCTCTGCCCTGAGCTCAGCACAAATGCTGAACTAGTCTCTCCAGCTTCTCAACTCCCTCCTCTAGGGCTCCACCACCAGCCAGGCTGAGGCCTCTCCTCCACCACTGCACACCCAGCCAGATTCCCCAGCACTGGTGGTCAAACCTCTTCCATCCTTTTTGAATCCGTCCACCTCTGTTTCTTGCTGCTGACGCTGGCCCACAACTCTCGCCTGAATTACTGCCACCTTCTCTTTTTATTTTTGGTACTGGGGATTGAACTCAGGGGGACTCTGGACGACTGAGCCACATCTTAAGCCCTATTTTGTATATTTTTTAGAGACAGGGTCTCACTGAGTTGCTTAGCGCCTCACTTTTGCTGAGGCTGGCTTTGAACTCTCAATCCTCCTGCCTCACCCTCCTCTTTTGCTCCCAGCTTCCTCTTCTCCCATCCTGCCCTAGCAAGGCCAGTCATGTGACCAACTCCTGGCTTAACTCCCAGTTGCCCTTCAGGTATGGACTAAGACTTCCGGTGCACTACCCGCCAAGTCCCTGCCCATCACTCCAGGTTTATGCTCCTGACACCACCTGGAGGCCTCACTCCAGCATCCTTAGCTTTTCCTCACTTCCAGGGGCTCCATTTCCTCACCTTTGGGCCTGGGTGTCTATGGTCCCCCTGCCAGGATCACTCTCTTACCTTTGCAACCCCCCACGAGGGGCCAGCTCTCAGCTCTGGGAAACCCAAAGTCACTTCTTGCAGGCATTGTCCTCTCAGTCTCAGCCTCTTTGCATCAGGAGTCTCTTTGCCATGGCAGCACCTAGAATCACCCCATCCTGGCCCTGCATCATTACGTTGTTTTATGCCCGCTCCCCACTCACTAGCTGGTTTATCTCTGAGGTGAGAGTTGCATTTCTCAGACACAGAACTTGAACACAGAGTTGACTCTTCTACTGCTTAGTTTTTCTTACATAAGAATGGATATGTAGCAGGCTTTCTGTGGTTGGGTCTGGACAGGTCCACGGCAGGAAAGCAGACATCAATTTGGCTGAGGGTTAACTCTACTGGTGGAAGGAGCACTGGATGTGGAGTCCTCATCTTAGTACTCCCATGGGCTTGTTGATTGACTTTATTGAGTCTCAGTCCCTGGCCTTTCAAATGGGTGATGCAGAGGCCTCTTGTCAGCTGATGCCCTGGTGTGGTACTGACAGGGTGTGAAACCTGTCTTGTTAGGTGGGTGACCTAATCTGTGCTTACTCCCTTTTTGGGAAAATGGATTCAGCGGTTCTTACTTCTCATGCTTGCTGAGACATATACCTAAGTAAATAATTTAAGACCGCGGCTGGTGCTCAACCTATCCTCTTGAGATGGGAGGAAATTCCTTCCCACTGTGAGCAGAAAAATGTGGGTGAGTTTTCCTGGTTTTCTTCCATTCGTTTCTGGGATTAAAAACAAGAACAGAGGGATGGAGGGTGCAACCACAGTCCCTCCGAGGTTGTATCACTCAGTGTGCACTGGTGACCTGCCAGGCACTGTGCAGAGCACTCCTCCACCTGCTCAGTCCTTATGACAGCGGCTTGTGTTGATATCCTTATTGTACAGATCAGAAAAAGAGCACATAAATGTGGGGGGTGGCGTTCAAGGCCATCCTAGCTAAGATTTCCCAGCCAGCATCTCTGTGTTCCAGTCATACTGGCTGTGCTGTCCACTCCTCTTCAAAGGAGCTGTGAAGGGAGGCGGAGGGAGGAATACTGAGAGTGAGGTGAGAGGCCAAGGAGAGAATGCAGAGCTGCTGGTGTTGGAGAAGGGGAGAGACCCTGGTGCTGGGAGTGCTGAGTTATCTCTGGCTGTGCCGTGCTCCTCCCTTGTTTACTGAAACTCTTTGCCCTTTTGCTTTCTCTTTCTCTTCTACTTCCTAGTGTGCTCCTTGCATTCAGTTTGAGAAGTGTTGTGGGAAAGGTCAGGAAGAGGATGGCTCCAGGCCCTATTGGGAGGGTGGGAAAGGAGCCTCCAAGCCCATTTCCCAATCTGAAGGCACTGCAAGGTTCCCTGGGCCCCCTGAGGATGCTTGGGAAACAGGTGAATCAGGAGCTTGGAGATGCTGTGGGTCACTGGTACTAACCCCTAGAGAGGCTTTGTAGATGAAAATAACAGGAGTGTTTTCCAGACCAAGTTTCAGCTCAGAACTGGCCCATGAGTAAGACTTGCAGTCTTGCATCCGGAAAAAAAAAAAAAAAAATTAAGAGTCATATCACCTTTTGTGTAGGTGTGTACCAGGTCATAATGTCAAATGTACATCTTATTGTAGGTCACATTAAAAAAAAACTGAGGGGGGGCTGGGGTTGTAGCTCAGTACTAGAGCACTTGCCTACCTAGCATGTGTGAGGCACTGGGTTCAGTCCTCAGTATCATATAAAAAAATAAATAAGATGAAGTTATAAAGAAAACAAATAACAAAACAAAACTGAGGGGCTGGGTTTGTGGCTCAGTGGTAAGAGTACTCACCTTGCAGCACCACATAAAAATAAAGGTATTATGTCCATCTACAACTTAAAAAAATATTAAAACAAACAAACAAACTGAGGGCCAGGCCTGATGGTGCATGTCTGTAATCCCAGTGACTTGGAAAGCTGAGGTAGTATGATTGCATGTTCAAGGCCAGCCTGGGCACTTGGGAACACCCTGTCTCAATAAAAAGGGCGGGATGTAGCTCAGTGGTAAGAGTCCCTCTGGGTTCAATCCTCAGTACTGGAAAAAAGAGAGAGGGAGAGAGAAAGGAAGGCAGGTAGACAAACAGTTTTAGGCTTTGTAGTCTGTAAACTTGGTTTAAAATTTTGGTTTTGCGACTTGTGTCAAAGTTCATTTGGGACTAGAGAAATAGCTTAGTGATAGTGATTGCCCCACATGCATGGGGCCCTGGGTTCCTTCCAGCACCACAAAAAAGGGGGGAAAACGTTTATCTGTGAAATGTGAACATTAAAATGTATCTTGTATTTTCTGAGGATTAAGTGAAAAATGCATGTAATTATCACAGTCTGTGGTCCTTGGTATATGCCCAAGTGATGTGGCAGAGCAGGACCTGCCCACAAGTCGTAGAATTTTTTTGAAACTCAGTGACATTGATGTCACTGGCTGAAATTTGCCATGGTGAAGCCATTTGCATCACTGAAATGAACAAGTGCTATAAATTGGGGGGGTTACTGTTTGTTTTATCTTTTCCCTTGGCAGCTGGTTGTTAGACATTTATCAATTTGTCCTTCGTGCTAATAATTCTCCCTTTAGTTTGTGGTACCAGGGATTGAACCCAGGGGTACTTTGCCACCGAGTTACATCCCTATCCTTTTTTTTTTTTTTTAAATTGAGGGTCTCCCTAAATTGCTGAGGTTGGCCTCAAATTTGTGATCCTCCTGCCTCAGTCAGGAATGGCTGGGTAATCCCAGGCTTGTGCCAACCTACCTGGCTCAGAAAACCCTCAAACTTCAAAGAGAGTTGTCAATTTGCAATAGAGTGGAGCCGGACTCAATTGAAAACAAGGTTTAGAGGGAAAGATACCATGAATTTCTAGGTTTGGATGAGAGTTTCAGGAAGACCTTTGTATTCTCTAACCATGGACTGTATGCCACTCTAAATATTTATTGATCCGATCACCCACCATGGACTAACTTGAACATTAAATTCAGTGCTTGAGCTTTAAGAGCCCATAATAAAAGTGCTGGAAGGCAAACAACCTAGTCCCAAATTCTGGTTACAAACACCCAGGGAGAGATTTCAGGCTTTTCCAGGTCCATGTGTTGAGGCCCTGAAGTGAGAGCAGAGCTGGGGCATTTGTCACTGTGGGAAAGCACTTTTTAACAGGAATGCCTCTGCTCTACTTGGTAGTTCAAGGCTCTGCTTTAAAAGCAGGTCTTGTTGGCCCATCACATCCTTAATGTGCAAGGGAACTAACACAACCCCTAGAGTGGATGATGCACTCCACAAGAGAGGAACAGGTACTTGGGGTATGGTTTCTTGGTAGCACTAGGCAGCCAGTTGGGTCCAAAGGACCTGTTGGTGTGGTACCTCTTTGCCTTAAGAGGGCTTCCACAATAGTGTGGTCCTGCTTTAGTATGACAGCAGACAACATTTATAATTTCATAACAGAAACGGGTCCTAACAGGGAAGGTGACTTTACTTGCCCAAGGCCATACAGCCTCCCCGGCAATCGTGGACTGAAACCCAGAAATGACCCTGGGAGTGGACTGGACGGCTTCAGGCTTTGCAAACTGAGTCTGGACTGCAGCTTCCCTATCTGGAAAACCGGATGCAGGTGTCGCCTTCTCCCACGAAGAGGCGTCCAGATGCCCCAGTCATGTCCCAGAGTGCATAACCCGAGGCGGGTGATTTCCAGGCCCGGATGTGAAGCCAGGCTACTACGAGGCCTGCACTTTCGGGGGTCTGCGATCACCCGCGTCAGCCGCCCGCGCCACCCGGCGGGAAGGGAAGCCGCTCCGCCACCACGTGACGCGCGGGCCGTGAGGGGACGCGCAGAACGGCGAGGCCCCGCCCCTCGGGCCGCCGCGCGCCCGTCGCGCGCAAATGTCCCGGGTCGGGCTGGAGAAGGGGAAAGAGGGGGAGGGGAACGCGGCGCGGGGGGCCGGCCCGTACGTCGCGGCGTTCCTTCCTCCCGCCTCTTCGCCAGGCCCTGTGTCTCCTCTACGCGGCCCCGCCCCCTCGCCCCGGCGCCCCAGCCAATGGCGCGGCGGCGCGAGCCTCTCCGGTCGGGGGCGGGGCGTGCGCGCGAGCCTGGCGCGCCTGCGCTCTGCCACCCGCCCCTCGCCGTGAGGAGGAGGTGGAGGAGGAGGCGGCTCGGGGAGAGCGAGCAGCGAGCCGGAGCGCGGAGCGTCAGTAAGGGAGCCTAGCCATCCGCTGCCGCCTCCCCTCCGCAAGCAGGAGCCCCGGCCGGGGCCCGGCACGCCGCCCCCGCCCCTCCCTCGTCGTCAGGCCGCGAGGGCAGCGCGAGCGAGCGAGGGGGAGGGCTAGCGAGCGAGCGCCGGGAGGAGGCGGCCGGACCGAGCGGGCGCCCGCGCGTGTGGCGTGAGGGGAAGCCGCCTGCCCGCCCCCTTCGCCTTCCCTTCTCTCCCCCTCCCCGCTCCCCCCCCGACCGCGGAGCAGCACCATGTCGGCGCCGGCGGCCAAAGTCAGTAAAAAGGAGCTCAACTCCAACCACGACGGGGCCGACGAGACCTCAGGTGAGGAGCGAGCGAGGCGGGGGCCGGCCGCGCCGCCATCTTCGCCGCCCGCCCGGGCCGCGGGCGCTGGCGGGGCGCGGGGGGCGCGCGGCCGGGCGGGGGCCGTGGGTTCGGCGCCCTTTTTTGTGCGCGGCGGGGCCGGGGGCCTGG